AACTTTAATTAAAATCTTCTCTTTTGCCATTTAACAATTCAAATGCAAGCAATTTTAACTAAACTATCTTACATAGGACCTATCCAAAACTACACAGCTTACACACATCTTAGACTTATTTGGTTAGGACGCGACTTCTAAATCTAGCTTAGGCCTTGTTATTCAATGTTTATTACATGCATATATTTTATAAATGCTAATCTTAAATTCATGTTAGTTATATTTTTTATTTAATTGTATTTTTTTTGAATGACATCTACACACACACATATATATATATATATATCTCTTTTATCTTATTTTGCGAGGTATATTGGGTCTTGCATGGTAAAAAAATCAAGCGACATCACTTGCTTAAGCGTTTTTAAGTGGTAGTGCCACAGTCAGGTACATCAGGTCTTGTGCGGCTATGAATCGAGCGACATCACTTGTTTAAGAGCTTTTAAGTGGTTGCGTCACAGCCAGGTATAATTTCTGCAACTTGTAAACTCTTAATTATATATTGAAACTGCTAAACATCACACACATCTTGTTAATATGTATTATAGCATGTTTAGGTTGTTAGTCATAAGTTAGTGCACTACCGAAACTTTAGTCCTATAGGTCAAAGCTTGCTCCTCCTTCTGTGAGCTCTAGAGACTCTTATAGTCACCTTAGGCCTGTAGAGTAGGCCCACCCATTTATGCCATAGGACATCGTCGTTTTCCCACACGAAGTGGGCACCACTAGGACATGTCATTTTTCGGTTTTGGGTATGATACCCCCACCTTCTGTGAGCCTTATAGACCATTAGGGTCATTTAGACCTGTAGTGTAGGCCACCTATTATGCCATGAGCATCGTTGTTTTCCCACACGAAGTGTGCATCGCTAGGATGATTTTTTATTTTATTGTGATGCAGGTACCTTGCCTGTAGGGTACCCTTAGTGTGTTTATTTATTTTTTTTGTACTTTGGATGTCATGCATGCATTTTTAAACATCTTGCTTCACAATGCACCTTACTTACATGCATGTATTACATTAGTAAACCTAGGGATATTTTGTGTTTATTTCATGCATCATATACAACACTAGGTATTTTCTTTTGCATATTATATAGTTCTTGATTTAAACCTTTCTAACTACAAATCCTTGATTCCTTAGAATAAAGCCTTCTCATCTTGCATACATATATGACGATTGGTTGTGCTTAGGATTTTAGTTGTCTTCTTTTTTTAGGCAAGGTATAAGTCTAGATTGCATTAGTTAGGTCGTAGATGTTAGTGTCGTATGTACGATACGATATCTTTTATAGATTTAGGATCTAAGGCTAGTGCTACGAGTGTACTACTGATGCCTTATCGGTGGGTAAGCCTTTTTTTCTTTCAAAAGCTATAAATCCTACCCATCCGCATTACACAGATGACACCACCATCCGCGTTACACAGATGACACCACCTTTCTCTTTCTCTCATGCGTGCTTGAATGCAGTGTCTTTTCCTTTTCTCCAGTTTTCTCTTCCTCAAATCGGCCGAGTGTGGATCTGAATCACGTGTGATTGATTGAACCAAATTTAGCCTATCTTCCCCTTTGATTAAGAAAGCCTAGAAATTTCTTTGCGCTAAACTCATTCGAGAAGATAATCTAACATCCTCAATCGAGAGTATTCTTAAATCGAGGTCTAAGTTATAATTAACTACGGGAGCTTGCGCCCGTAAGAAATCGATCTCCACAATCAAATAAGCCCTATTTGAGTTGATGTATCGAATGAGGAAAATCTCGTGAAATTTTGGGTTATATATATTATTATCCATCGATGTGTATAGGTGAAAGACGCTATCCTCCATGGCTAATCATATGTATAACTACATCTGCTTTTCCATTAGCCTGTTTGTGTCGAGTGTATAGGCCTACGATCATTTTGTCCTACGGGATAATGTGGCTGTACCCTTTGCATTTGAACCAAACGAGCAGAATCCTTTCGGAGACCCACAATCTGAAATCTAACTTTAAAATCTTTTAAAGTTCTAAAGCTTAGCTGCTCCAGTTGGGAACGACAAGTAATTTGACCAAGTTGCAGTTAAAAAATTTAAAAGATATTATTGTTGGAAGAAACATTATAGATAATGAAAGGATCCCAAAATTCTTTTGTCGTTAAACATATGATAAAAACTATTGTAAGTTGTTTCTTCTTGATTTATGATCTCATAGAAAAAAAAAAGAGCAAAATACTTCAATTATTGAACGAGATTTACTGACTTTTATAAAAAAATATCTCTTTGATGGATTTGAATGTTTTCTTTAGACACAAGCAGAACAATCTGCGCTTATCAATAAACTCATTGCAGTAATTTTTTGGTCAAACAAGCACATCAATGTTGCTACAAATAATCTCCTAAAAATTGGAGGATAAGTTCCATTGCTTAGCAGCCTCGAGATCTCTCTTGGATTTTTTTTTCTTTTTAATTTCAATCGCCTCTATGATCCCTTATGTCTTTTATAGCATAGAATCTCACATTTCATTCATATTAGCTAACTCTTAACATGCCATGTGTTGTATTTGTAAAAAAATATTTTAATTTATTTCATCCCACCACATCCAATATTTTCTTC